GGTTTCATTTATTTATGCATTAAAAACCAAAACCCTATCGTATAATTTTATATGATATATAAATTACTATATATTTGTATTTTATTTAATATCTTTCCTTTAGATATTATGTTAAAAATATATATAAATAAAACAAAAATTAAATATATATATATATATATATATATATATATATATATATATATATATATATATATATATATTATTGTGAAATACATTATCCCAATAGAATAAGGTAAGAGTAAATCATAAAATAGGTTTATTCAACATTTTTATATCACTTAAATCAGTTACAATATTTGAAAGATAGCGTGAAATCAATGATAACTAGACAATTAAAAACATATAAATCAGACATGAACATTGAATAATCGTAATAATAGATGGAGTTACCATTAGACCCACTAGATCCGATCAAGTGGCAACCAAATGACAGGGGGAGCAGTATAAAAAAATTGTTAAATAAAAACGGAAATTTGCCTAATTATTAGATTAATTTCTTGAGGAAAAATATTTCAATGATCTGTAGAGGGGTCAGTAAAAAACTTAAAATCCTGGTCCATTCACTGTATTATGTTTAATTATTTTATTTATTGTATACTTTAATTAGCTCTCAATACTGAAATGTTAGGAATGTGACGTCACAATATGTTTGGTAAATAGAAATAGTATTTTCAAACTTTTTCTTTCAATCATTTTAATGTTATTTTATAATCACATAAAAGCGTGAATCCATTTAGCAGAAGATTAAAAAAACTAATATAAAAAATAACAACAACAAATTTTGCACAATTTAAAACTAAACTTTAAAAATAAAATTAATATAAAAAAAACCATCATTGCAACCTTGCCTAAGAATGCCTCATTAATTCAATTTCAGCTGTTATCTTGTCCAAGATACTCTCTTAAGCCTTTTTCAATTGGATTATTGTATTAAGCATTTGATATACATATATATATATATATATATATATATATATATATATATATATATATATATATATATATATATATATATATATATAAAAGTTGTTTGAGTTTCTTAACGCCATTCATATATTCGAACAAAAGAATCACGTAAAACTTTGTATCAGGGTCGTTGATAATCGCCACTTATCTTGTTCACCTTCACATAATTTCCTGTTAATTTGCATTAAAAAAAATTATATCCAAGCGAAGGAAATCAACAGCCTAAATCTACTATTATTATTTCTTCTAATGAATAATTTAAATAATGAATCTGTATAGAACCAAAACGAACTCCACTAGTTTTCTTTTAGCTTTAGCTTTAGGGCTAATTTAAAAACAGAATCATTATGTACTGATTTAGTTGAATATTTTTCAGTTAACCTTGTCTGTTCCCTACTGGTTTTATAAATGTTATTTTTGTTAAAACGAATTATAGATTCGGGTGGTATGACCATTCCGATGATAGTATTCATCATGAATTGTATTATGGTTTCAATTCAATTCAAAATTTATTATAATTATGATATATTGGGGGAAAATCAATTATGAAAAATAATTTTTAACGTTGTACGAGCCTTCCAAATCCAGCCATGGAATAATGTTTGAATTAAACCGAAAATTATACGGCATTATTATTATTATTTTCGCTCACATTTTGTATGTTTGGTAAGATTTCTTTTAATAATCATGAAAAGCTATTATAAGACGATGCACTGCGAGATAAATTAATTAATTTTTCGTATTTTCAAGTCCACAATTATTATTTTGAAAAACTACTAAAATAAATAGAAAAAAAAATATTTTGTTGGTCCAGACCTTTTTATCGCAGATCTTAAATCTATTTCTTTATTTTTCTATTTATTTTATTAGAATCCTTAAAAAATATTATACCAGATTCCAGCTGCGTCCACCTGGGTCTGTAGTTTAAGCGTAATTTAATGTTGTAAATTGAATTAAACTTAAAAAGAATTGGTTAGGTTTCATTTATTTATGCATTAAAAACCAAAACCCTATCGTATAGTTTTATATGATATATATTAAATGACTATATATTTGTATTTTATTTAATATCTTTCCCTTAGATATAATAATATGCTAAAAATATATATAAATAAAACAAAAATTAAATTTAAAAAAATGTTTCTTCATATTCTATTTATTCCGGATCAAAATGAGGAATTCTGTCGTATCTTTATCATTTATAAATTATACAAATTAGTAAATATTTAATTAATTCGAATTTAAAAAATGATTAGTTGTTAAAAAATATTTTCATGAAATGAGTTTTTGATATTTGGTAGCACAGAATAAAATCATAAAATGAAATATCTCAACCTTCTATTTTCTCACAAAATCATGCTATGGCTTCTACTTATTTTTTAAAATTGATAAACATTTTAATTTTTTTAAAAGAATAGTCATGTCATACATTGACTTACTACTTTAACTGTAAAATCTTTTAAACCAGAATACTACATTGCTTATCCGCCCTAGTCTGAATCGAGGCATGACCGATGTTAGATTTACATCCAGAAATTTGTATATATATATATATATATGTATATATATATATATATATATATATATATATATATATATATATATATATATATATATATATATATATATAATATATATGATATATATTGAATATCATATTGTTCTTTGCCTTGCATAAATAACACGGGGACCCCCCCCCCCGGTCTCATCCTGTCCTACCCCCTCTCGAAGACGGAGTTATCTACGTCTAAGCGACAGATGCTTGAAGACGAGGCACGCAGCCGCACTGCTCGCCCCAATCACTCTACCAAATACACTGGCCGACGGCTAACGGAGTGAGAATTACAGCCCTTCGGATATACACGTTACAGCCCTTCGGATATACACGTTACAGCCCTTCGGATATACACGTTACAGCCCTTCGGCTATACATTAGCTGGACACCAGTTCCAACACATTGGACGAGCGGCGGCAACGGCTTGAAAAAAAAGTTATCGTCCGCCCTTTGATCAACCTTGTTTCGGCTTTCAGAACCATCTCTATTCTCTGCAACCTATCAAAGCCTCTCGAAAAGCTTGTCCGTTCTCAGCTAAATACCTTCTGGGCAAAATGTTCTTCTCAATCCCCTAGAATCTGGTTTCCGATCCCAGTTCTCTATCCTGTCTGCTTTATTGAAAATCAACCAAGACCTTCAATTCTCCATAAACGGAAAATCTCTATGCTAGACCTCTTTGATTTTTCAAAATCTTTCGATTCCGTTAATCATAAAATCCTTCTTTCCAAACTGCAAAACCTCTCCATATCAAATAGCGTTCTAACGTGGTTCCATTTGTTCTTGCATCACATTTCCCAAACAGTCATCATTCCCAATAAAACTCCTTCCCCTTCTCTAACTAGCTCGTGGTGTCCCGCAGGGATCTTATCTCTCTCCGACTCTTTCCTCCATCTGCATTTAAGATCTTCAAAATTCCATCTATCATTCACAATACCACCTTTATGCTGCCGACCTTCAAATCTACCTTTTGTTTCATCCTACCGAGATGCTTGAGGCGATTTGACGGTTACAGGGAGAAATAGATAATATTACCACTTGGGCAGCGAAAAATGACTTAATAAAATCGAACGCTGAGGAGACCAAAGCCATTCTCATTGGTTCCAGTCATTTTATCAATTCCATCCCTTATTATCCTCTACTGTACCTCAATGGACTACTATTCATTTCCATAATTCCGTTAGAAATCTTGGAGTAGTTTTCGATCAACACCTCTCCTGTAACAATCATATTTCCCAAGTCATCCGAAAATCTATGGCTACCTTAAAACCTTAAACTTTTCTTTAAAAGATTCCGTGATTCGTTGCCCCTAAAAATCCGCCAGCTCCTAGTTTTCTCACTTTGATCATGGCTGCCTTGTATATGTTGGACTGACTGACGGGCTCGAGATTAGATTGAAGAGACTAATGATGTCGAATGATGATGACACGATTGTTGATGACATGGTGACGAATTGTTTCATTAGATTCATGTTTGGAGCCCCCAGCAGCTCCTTACGTGCTCCAGCTGGTACGCCGAGCTGAAGTCGCTCGATCCAACTTCCCAACGGCAATATTTCCTAGGTGTTTTCCTTTTCCGAACATTTTGCAACAAAAAAATGTTCTTACCTTCTTGCTCCTCTGTCCATTCATTCAACACGAGATCCCAGCCCACAAACCTGTTTATTCCTTCTCATAGAACTGTTCCCTTCAAAAAATCATTTTTCTTTGAATCAATTTACTTTGGAATTCCTTACCTACTTCCGTTTGAAAATCCTCATTCTTAACCTCATTTAAACACCTTTTATTTTTCCATCTCCTAAGCAATCAATCTTCCGAATATATGTAAGAGTATTTTTTTTTTTTCTTAGAGCTGTCACCTCATTTTGCTGTGATCTTACAGATACATATTGTGTATATGTAAATGCACTCTTATACATCTACCTATAATTCAAATTTTAACTTGCGCTTTTCTTTATTTTAATTCAAAGACACAATAGTAACATTACATAATTTAATTAACAACAAGAAGACGATTAACTTCTATGCTAGACAAATGTCACTAAATAGTTCATTAAAATTATTCTAAGGGGACTGAATGTCCCAGCATAAAATTTACTTTTCTTCTTAAGAATAGCACAGAAAAAGAACCCCAGGAACTACAGTTGAGGGTGTTATGATAAGTTAGCGGGTTTTAGAGCTACGCAATAACAAAAATAGAGACGAAAAATAGCTCAAGCTATTCTCAAATTAGAAAATAAATATTTACATCAATTTTTCGCTGACACTTACCATTTTAGTTAGATTTGTGAATTACTTATGAAAAGATTTATTGGAAACGACATAAAATTAAATTTTACGGACTTCAATACTGAAGTGTGTACGTGTGTGTGTGTGTTTATGAATGATTGTAGCAAGTGTTTTAAATATAGTATTTTAAAAAATATATTATTTGTACATTTAATAGCGATAAACACCTCACATTAATATTTATTTTTTAGAAGTTCTTCCAGAAGCTATGCAGACTGAATGTGCGAAATGTACTGATGCCCAGAAACGATTGGCTGGAAAGAATTATTAGGAAAATATGACCCCAAAGGAGAATTCAGGAAGAAATATGAATATGAAGATAAATAGTTTAAAGCGGCCAATATATTTTTTTTATTTTGTGTGTTTTTGAAAAAAGTGTAGATTGTGAACTTTTATATTAGTCTTAAGATATAAATAATTATTATTACTGGTGAATAACTATGGTATTTGGATGAAACATTTATCAGAAATTCTCCTTATTACTTTTTATGCTGTCAGATGTTGCAAAGAGCCACAAGGCTGGAACAAGCAGAGGAAGGGAGAAAATGGCAAAATTTGGAGTTGAGGGAAATTTTATTTTACGGAAAAAAAAAATAGAATGCAGTAATTCTGTTTTTTTTTAAATCTTAATTAAGTTACATAATAAAGATTAAATGTAATGAGATTATGATAATTATTCGAATTATGTTACCTAAATTACTGTTGGATTGTCCTCTCTGACCAAACTCCTAATTCTATTTCAGATCAACTATACGCATACAGCTATGTGTTATTTAATATAACTATAATAATATATAATATGATGAATAACTATATTAAAACATGGTAAAATACATTAAATTACAAAGTAAAGAAAATTTAAACATTGAAATGTTGCATAGATATTTTAATTTTCCCCTTTGTTTCATCATATGTTTTTTCAAGTTATTTGAAGATCAAGTCTATTTAATTCCTTTTCAGTTTATCGGTAAGTATTTATAAAAGTTGTTTCAAGGTAAAAATGTAATAGATAAAGGAACTCTCAGCTGTTATATCCACATTCCTACCCAGCCTAAAAATATTTGTTTTATATATTATTGAAGTTTCATGAGGGGACTTATTACACAGATTCCCCTGTAATATTTTCTCTTTTTACTGTCCTATTTAAAAAAAAAATTTTTTTTTGTCAAGTGTCTAAGCACTATTTCTTGTGGTACGTTTTTTTTTTTTTTTCAGCTTTTAGGATTTTATTTATCTTTCATATATTATTTTATCTCATATTCTTTTATCTCATTTTAACATATATTCCTCCATACATGCATACATTGTTTTTAGATATTATTTATATAATATGTAAATAAATTCATAGCCAACAGACCCGCTTGGGCTCCTCAATAAACTTCAGCCTCCTAATCAGGTAACTATATAAAATGTATAATATTGAAATGAAATGAAAAAAATATTTTATTCTGGGACTAAAGTCTCCTTAGAATAATGACAGATTCAGAAATTATGCAAATCATTCAGACATGATGAAATACAAAACGGTACTAGTCAATTAACTGTTAGTAGCAATTGTAATCACGTAAACAAATAATTCTTACATAGTTGTGATAGTTTGAATATGAAATAAGTGCCAGAGTAGGAGTTGTTTAAGGAAATTCGTAGATGAGGATTAAGGAGGATGCTAATTTAGTCGAGCACATTGGGGCGTGTGTCCCAGAGTGCCCGGTTCTGAACGTTGTGGGTTAGATTCCCACCTTAAGGTTTGGTTAACTTTCATTGCTTGACTGCCCTCGGACATTAATCATACATTCCCATTCTGGTATGTACTCGGCGACCACCTAAGGGATTAGCAAAAATGATCACGTGGTCTACATGCCGAACTAGTTCCCCCACCAATACCGAAAGCATTGCCAGAAGAGAATTGACATATGGAAATAAGCAATTATTAGTTCCGAAAAGAGGTTGCACGAGTGACGAAGCATTTGCTAATTTCTGTAATCACTAAAATATCTCCAAAATCCGCTATTTTTAACTTTGACACCTGCACCTCCTAAGTGAGATGGCAGAATACGGTCCAGGAATAATGCACCATTATGGACGCTTAAGCTTGTATATAGTGTACATATGTGTAAATATTAGTTTTAGGTCAGGTTTAGTTTTATTTTAAAAAATCAGAACAAAGAGGTGTACCAGCGTCTTTTAATCTCATGATAAACTAAAACTTTCTTATATATATATATATATATATATATATAAAAATTTCAAACAGGCTTTAAAATGAACCACAGTTTTAATAAAAAGCCAAGCATACAAATATTTTAATTAACCTAACTCATAATTTTTATCCTTTTTATTTACGTACTTTTGATATTTTTATTCATTTCTAGATGTTTTACTTTTTCTTTCTATACATGCAATTCCCTTTCTTTTTTTCCCAGTACAATTATAAGTATAGTTGAGAAGTTTTCATTTTATTTTTTAGTTATTTACATACCATTATTTAAGTTGTATATATTGTTTGAATCTTTATTAAGTTAGTTTTTGGCCAAATATGTATTTTTCTTTTGTAACTGTTCATTATTGTTATTGTAAGGGGACATAGTTTTAGAATAAAGTTAATTTTCTATTTCTATTGGTGGACTGAAGAGATCGCTGTCCTCCGACGAGCTTGTCTTCGTACCTGAAGATTAGCTCTATGAGCGAGAGGTCGCTTAATATACGATTCTAGAAAGAAGGGGCATAAGTAATCTAGCAAAGGGAATAAAAGAAAGAAAACGTAACTGCTGGGAGAAGCTGTTTGAGGAGGTAGACAAAGACACGTGGCGATGACCCTACAAAACACTCATGGCCAAACAGAAAAGTTCAAACTTGTAGCCCTCGAGCTCTCCTGAATTGTTCGAAATAGTAGTGGTAGTGTTTTTTCCAAGACTCTCGGAAGTGCTCGTTGACAAGATAGAATTACTAGATCTGGAAGCAGTGCCAGAAATCACAGGGAAAGAACTAGACATAGATTGCAGGAAAATAGCAGATTCTAATGCTCCGGACCCGAATAATGTTCCAAATATTGCTTTGAAAATGGCTATTAGGTCAAGACAACAACTCTTCTTGGACGTGTGTAACTCCTGTCTCAGTATAGTTGTCTTTCCAACACAGTGGAGGAAGCAGCGTCTTGTGATCCATCCAAAGGGAAATGGGCCTCCAGAAGATCTCGTATCTTATCGCCCAATATCCAATCTTATCCCCAATAGACAGTCTCGGCAAGTTATTTACTGGGACGACCGGTAAGGAAGGATTGGAACCAATCAAGGGAACTAGAAGAAAAAGAGATATTTTTAAGTTTTTTTAGGAGGATGTTGTGGTCTACTGAATCAAAAGCTTTGGAGAAGTCTAGGAGAATAAGGATGGTTAGTTTCTACTGATCTATGGCTGTGTGAAGGTCTTGGGAAATTTTGATTAGGGCAGACTGAGTAGAATAACCAGGCCTGAAACCGAACTGGTAGGGATTTAGGAGACTATTGTCCTCTAAAAAATGGGATAGCTGGGATTGGACTAACCGCTCTAATGGTTTTGAGAGGTTTGAAAGGAGGAAAATAGGTCGGAAATCATTAGGAGCTGATGGGTTTGAAGTCTTCTTCAATGGGCGTACTAGGGCGGTTTTCCAGGATGTAGGGAAGGTAGCATTTTGAAGAGAATAATTATATATATGATAAAGGATCGGAAGAATGGATGGCAATGGCAATTTAAGGAGATCATTTGGTGTAATATGGGAAAGAAAGAAGTGATCAGGATTAAAGGAAGAGAACATGGGAGCCGGACTGGACGTGGGAGATGTGGTTGCAAGAGGACAGGAGACAAAGTGAGCGTTGAGGTTATCAGCAGAAACGGAATTGGACTGAGACTGGGGTGCATTACCAATGGTCAGTTTTCTAAGAATAGTCCACGTGGCCTTGGTATTGGGAGAGTTGGATAGGGAATGATAGTAGTAACGGGATTTAGCACGGCTTACTGCTTTACAGCTTTTTCGAAGCTGTTTGTAGGAGAGAAAATCACCAGGAAGTCGAGTTTGTTTAAACTGTCGCCTTGCAGCATCTCTTTCTCTCATACACTCCCTCAAAGCAGGAGTAAGCCAAGGAGCTGGAGGATATCGGATGATTTTGTGATAAGAGGAGCATGTCGGTCGAGGATAGAGTGGTAAGGGTTTCTACCGTGGTGTCTATGGATTTTGAGGAATAGATGGGATCCCACTGGATATAGTCAAGATCTTCTGACAATGTTTCGTGAGTGAGATAATATAGGTTTCGGAAGGATATTGTTCGGGGAGAAAATGATGGGACATGGACATTGTAAGAGATCTGGACAAGATCGTCGGAAGATAGAAACGGGACCGGGTGCTGAGATGCGGCAAGGAGTTTGTCTGAGGAATCTAGGATAATTAGATCGAGCCAGGACTCTGAATATTGAGTATGATGGGTTGGATTGTAGGGTACTATGTAAAGGCTGAGAGAATGAATGAGGTTTGTTAGGTAAGAATAATCAGAGGATGGTGCCAGTAAATTGGTGTTAAAGTCACCGGAGAGGATGATGTTTGAGTAGGAAGGGATTAAATTGTACAAGAAAGTCTCAAGTGATTCATCGAAAGGAATTCTAGGAGGGCGATATATGACAGCAAACAGAATGGTAGATGAGGTTGTGAGGATTTCGGCGAAAAGGTATTCAACGTGCCGAGAATCGGTTATGGAAGAGCAGTGAAGGATTTTGGGTTTGAGACTGTCATGGACAAAGAAACCTACTTACTCCACCACCCGTGCGATCTACTCTGTCATGACGAAGGAGAGTATAGTTAGGTAGAAGGATCTGGGAGGACTGGATTGTGGGTTTCAACCAGGTTTCGGATACGGCAATTAAATGGTATAAGTTATGGAGAAAAAAGTCGTAAAATTCATCAAAATGGGCTAGGAGTGACTGAGCGTTGACGTGGCAGGTTAGAAGGATATTAGTCATGGAAGAAGGAGGGGTGGCTTGGTAAACGGACAGAAGGAGTTAAGGATAGGAATATTTCTACAGCAGCTAGAGCCAATATGAGCCCAGAGACCATAACTATTGATATTATCTCTATTGAGAGGAACAACAAGTATGCAAGATTTCCTAGATATTAATAAGGATGGTAAACAAAAAATATAAAATTTAGTTGACGAAAAGCATGTTCCTATTGTGAAAAAGAAAAAAAACACATAAATTAGAATTTCTGAACAGATCAGACCTAGAATGTTCTCATAATCAAAAATGAAATTATCATCACAGTCTATTATTAAAACAAACGCAACAAAAACATATACCTGGAGATATAAAAAAGTAAAAACAAGATTGTTCAAAGTGATGTAACATGTATATGCATGTCAAGCAAACGTGTCTAAATCTGATTCAGATTTTTTTTTTCAGGCTTTTTCTGTTACTGAGATTCAGAATTTAGCTTAATTTCTTCATAATTGGCCTTTTATTAAAGATTGATAGTTAGAGAATAATAAAATATTAAAAAATAATCGGACTTGGCAACAAAAAACACCAATAAAGTTTTTTTTTTTCAAGCCGTTCAAACTAAAGGTTAAAATCAAGCGTCGTTTGAAAATAAACAGCCAACCATAACGAAAGACACTACGAACTATAACATCTGGAAAATACATTTATCTTTCTAAAACACTGACTAATTTTTAAAATATTTGAAGCGATTATATAGGAAATACACTAAATCGGCGGAAAAAGGGCAGTGGCATGAGCGTCTAGAGTCCTCTGTCTCATTCCGTACTCATAAATGGTATTGTTATTAGTAGTAATAAAATTGTTAGTACATTATTTTGATTGAATTTTATACATTATACAATAAT